TTCAATACAAAGTATTCTCAGTTATTATGAAGCATACTTTATGTACTGTTGTAACCAAAACACATCATACCGAAACGAATCTTATGAAAACTTTCCTACCATAATATTAACTAAAGTATGATCAAATAGCATAGAAAGATAGAGCGTTTTTTTTCTCTGTCGTTTCATACGAGAAGAAACTCTCCTTCAGCTTACTATAAGGCATTACAACGTCACTCTCACTACTTTTGGACTGATCTAAGTAGTATTAATACATAATCTTACACATTTACAGATGATTATTCATCGCAATACAGAAAAATGAAGAAATTTAGAATAGAAGGAAATAAAAATATTATGTAGCGGGTGTGAATGCGGTCGTAAGCGAAGGGAAGAGCTACGCTTACACTCTCTGAAGCACGCTTCTACGCGAACCGCTGCTAGATTCGGACAGATGGCTTGGACTATGGAAAGTGTGATTATACCATTAGATAGAACTCGTTCAGTTGTACTTATAAAACGCTCTTAGACGAATCGCTGCTGGGATGACTTGAATTCGCTGTCAGCTTCACCTACGTGTAAAGTGAATGTCTTCATGGTAATTATATAAATAGAATTTTACGGATAAGTAAAATGATTATAGATAGTTCTGTGTGAACTTGTCCTAACGCTTTCTTTTTTGATTAAAAATAATATGCAAACTCATTTCACTCTCAACTAGAAGAGATTGTTAGATTTTTGATTTTTTAGTTTGTTATCCTCATCCAAGTAATATCAACTGTGTTTTATAGAACTTGACAGATATGCAGTTTAAGCGTATAGTAATTAAACCTGATCCATGAAAAAGACTGTAAACAATGTCTCACTTTCAGATCTTGGCTACATAAGCTACGACAAATTTATAAAAAGCAATTGAATCATATTTTATTGTGGTGAAAAAGATGTGCAATTATGTTATTTTAAACTTAATAATAGTGAAGAAAAACATTGTAGTCAAAGAAATAAGTTAAAGTCAATCATTTTGACATTGTCACCCATAGAACCAAATTAGAAACAAACATGCATAATAATAGACAAAGAAAGACCAAATAATTTAAGGCGTTGCATCTAGCTTCAATGTCTTTTTTATTTTTGCTCTTCGTTTTATCTTTATCAAAATCAGCTTGACATGACTCGCATCTGTTGCAGAAGTTGCATTTTGGTTTTGCTTTTTGATTTGTGTCGTTAATACTTACATACGTTTCTGTTTCAATTGGTTTAACTTTATTTGAATTTGTTCTGATAGATTCCATATTTTCAATGGAAATACCCTGTTGTTTGTCAATGTTTGTTGCTTCATTATTTGCAAAATTCTTAATCTCATTATTGTCAGCAGTAAAATTCTTCTGTTGATCTTGTTTTGATGATGGAAAACAACAAAAGAACATTCTTTGCAACAGTCCACAAAAAATATAAAGTGACTTTGGCATTTCAGCTTTTGTTGTAAAATAATTATATATGATAAACCATAGCATTGATATTAATGTCCAACAAATTGATAATAAAAAGTATAATGTGATCATCATTAAATATTCAGACTGTTGCGGAAATAGACTGGAGAAATTTAATGAATAAACAGAATATGTCATAAAACATATCATACCTAAAAATGTAAATACAATATATTTATTTTATAAGTTCTATCGTATTAGTATTCAAGAAAAAGAAAATATTCTTACATAAACCAATTTGTGACGCAAAGGGTAATGAATATGATAATAATGTAACACAATTTAAAATAAAACATGCAAATATACCATTCATCATAAAAAATAATGGTTTTCTTTGTAGATATAATTGTATTGATATAATAGCATTATAAGTATCTTCAAATGGTGCCCTATCTTCTGCTTGCATTACAATCATATCTGTTCCATCCAATTTCCATAAAGGATGTTCATTATATCCACTAATATCAATTACTAAACTATTATTCTCTGTATATAAAATTCTATTAGATCCTTGACTCCATGCTGTTAAATTAATGCTGCACATTTGTTTATCAAATGGAAATTTTCGAACAAAGAGATTACATCTTGTTCTTACTGTTAATGCTGGTAATATCATATATACTTGACCTGTGTAGTAGACAGATGCCAAACTATAATCACTTACTGTAAGATAACCACTTGCATCTGCTGAATTCAATATCATCGTATCTGGTATCCATAAACTTTTAACCGGTAGCATAACGACAGTAATACTATAATTTGAAGTATTCCATGATAATCGATCATCGAACCATGTTTGTGAAATAAATGAACTTGATGTCATTATTTGTTGTTTTTCATCTATAGCCACAATTTGTTGTAGTGAAGCAGTGATATCAACAGATACTTGGTCATATGGTCTTATATTTCTATTATATCCAATTAACAATGCTGTTATTAAGTCTTGTTCAGGTTGTTGTGAAGTCGGTAAGCTTCCACAATTACAGAAATAGAATAAATAGCATAACAGGCTAACAAAACCTAGTAATTTTATCATTTTGTAATTCTTTATTTCAGTGCAACAGATCAATACGACTTTTCAAACTCGTTTGTTGCTCCTTGTTTTTATTCATATGAATAAAAAAGAAAAGTTTCAAATTGTAATGCCATAAAGAGTGTCTACATTCGAGCAAGTTCCATTGTCAATAAAACGCAATATTTATTTTACAAATGCTTTGTTTCTGCTATTGAACGATGTTTTTCTGGGAAGCTTGTTTCAAACTTATGATCGTTCACAATTGTTTGAAGAAAAACATTTATCCCGATAGGGAAATCAATTTGCATTGCAATTGAAAAAAACTATAAAAAAAAATAATTTCAAACAATCGGGCAAATCTTTTCTTTTTCTTTGTTGTCTTTCTCCGCAAGATAAAGAAATCCGGTCAGGTTCCGACAGGAAAACACCGGAAATCGATGAAACATGGAAGCAGTATTCCGCATCGAAAAGTCTGCGGATGTTGCCGGGAACTTCCGGCCAACTTTCTGTTCTTTCCGGCAGAAAATGATCGTAAATCATCGGAAAAATTTTCGGTTCAGAATATTGCTTCCATATTCCATCGATTTTCGGTGTTTTCCTGTCGGATACGTTGATTTTTCCCGCATCCTTTCTGCCAGTTCCTGTGAAATTCGATTCGTTCCAGAGTCTGGAATCGTCGATCTAGTTTATGAACTTTTATATCATCATCATTGGTTTGTTGGTTTTATTTTGTCTTTCAGTTTCAAAGTTTTCTTTTAAAATTGTTTTATTAATGTTATTTTACGTGAATGGAAATTATTAGCATGATATGCAAGTATACTGTCAGATATAGAATATAAATTATTATGAGATAGAAATAAAATCCAATTTTATTCTGAAAGATTAAAGGTAGGTAAACATAGAGGATGAACACATATAGAAAGTTAATATTTTAGAAATTAGTCAAAGATTTTTCAATATTACTAGCTAAAACACATTTGACTACTTATAAATTGATAGAAAAAGTGCTGATATAAGTAAAAGAACTGTATACTCTTTATATATGGCAATCTATTGATCTAAAATAGTAACCGATCTACTAGTTGAGAAAATTCTTTACCTATATGAATTTATTTTTTAATAACTATGAAAAATCGTTCTTGAATTGTAAATTAAATTACGAATATTTTGTGTTGTTTGTATGATATGTTCAAATTCAATAATATAATCGTTGTTAAATGAAGAAAATAATCTGATGATGAGGTATATTCTAATGAATTGCATGCTTTTCAACTCCTTCTTTTTATTCTTGTTTTCTGATGAATGTACTACTTGTTTATGAATATAATATACTTCGTTATTTTCTAGAACTCACGTATATTCGTCCTCGATTGCTAAAGTCGGTATAAGTCTCGTTTATGCAAACACCTTTGTTGAGGGTAAGGGCAAGGGAAATAGGTGTTTTTTATAAACTTGAGTTATACCCGATTTTCTCATAAGTATTGAAAAGAGGGAAGTTTCTGATGACTAATGGCGCAATTATCAGCATGATATTTCGTCTACACACTGTCGATATTTATTCATTTAGGAATACAAATATTTGAACAAATAATGCAACAATAGTTTATACTAGTTTTTTATTCTGTTCAATCTTGACGTGTACATCGCGAAAGAAGTTCAAGATAATAGTATATGAAAATTTTTTTATAATGATATATCATGAATTTATCGAATATTTTGACTATGTAACAGATTGTCTTATGACTATGGAGTTGGCTTCTTGTCATTTAATTTTTGATTAATCAATGAATTTTTTTCTTCATAATCGTACTTTGAATAGACTGATTGGGTGAATGAATGGTTTGATAGAAGTCGATGATTTTCTGAAATATGTTCTTGAAGTCGGCATCGGAAAACGACAACCAATCAAATGAGAAATTCATCGATTCAAACTTATTAATCTATTAATAAATACCTTTCAACATGTAAAAGAAATATTATAAGACGAATATATGGAACTCATATCGATTATATCGTTCGGCGTTCATTGACAAACAATGGATGAATAATGTTATTATGAGAGAACAATATTTCAGATCCTAATTAATTGAAAATTAATCATAATTCAACTGAAGTGAAACAAATAACATGTTCATCAAACGTGAATTAAAATTCCATATAAATATGTCGAATATTGTTTGTTCATTGTTTTATAGTTTTCATCCACAATAGCCATATTTCTGTTTTGCAACGTGATTTTCTATGTTGCTAGGAAGAGCATTAAAGTTTCCCAATTTACGAAACTTTCCAACACAGCCAAATAATTTTTCAAGCAAAAAGACGCAAAAATTTAAATAAAATATTTCTGAGTGAATTACGAAATTAATGAGAGAAAGCAAACTATGCAAATATCATTAGGAAACTTCGGAAAATATCGAAACACATAAAATGAATCCGTGATCAACGTTCCATATTTAATGAAATTTCCTGGAAATCTGAGTATTTTCGAGCAGACGATTTCGATTGTTTTAGAGTAAATCGTGTAAAAGAAAGGTCAATATTATTTTACAGGGTTTTCTCAGATAATAGATCATCGAGAAATGATAGCAAGACAAAAAAAGGATTGAATAGTAATTATTTTTATTTAAGATGATTGATAAAGATTCATTGAACAAAAAAATAGAAATAAAACCATGAATTCAGCAATTAAAATTAACTCGATGAATCGATTTGATCTAGTAGTACATTTCATATTTTTATTTCGATAGTTCGAGTCAAGATTGCATGTTAAGCAACTTATCGAACAACGTTCATATTAAAAATATTCACCTTTAAGGTACATATCTCGATGTTGTCCATGGTCTATAGGTATAGTCATGATTGTATTCATTTTTAATCCAAAAAGAATCATATGATGATCTTATCTCAGGTCGTGTATGAACAGTATGATGACGAATAACTGATGGATTTGGTGGTTCGATTAAAAGATTATTGTAAACCGAACTATAGTAAGGGCTATACGTCGATTCGATTCCAGGTGTTATTGTCTGATGAGAACAAATCAAACACGACGTTGAATGTGCACTTCTACGTAAATCGTTCAAATCTCGTCGAATACTCTCGAGTTCACGTCGAAATGAGTCGAAAGCATCTTTTCGTGTAATATTCACGTTGTAAGCAGGCACAACATACATAACTAAAAAGGAGAAGAAAGAAAAAAGAAACTTGAAGTGTCTCGCTTTTCTTTGGGCAACGACACTATTTAAACAGTATTTTGTTCTCTTCTATCCACAAGGGTCGGCACACCGACGAATTATGTTTGTAGAAGAAAAAAAAAAGGACGACTTTCTCTCTTCATACTACTTCTTTTTTTTTACATTGTCAATAATACGTTAACAATCAACTATAGCATATGAAGCATTTTTTTTAATGAAGACTATCCAATGTTTCATGATTGTATATAGAAAGCCAATGCTGGAATAACACTCATTTGCATTTTTTTCCGTTGACATTCTGTCGATTTAATCATTTCGGCATTTATATTGAAAGTAAAAGTTTTTTTTTTCTGGGCAATCCTTATTGATTAATAACAGACATGAATTGAACCAAATGAGTAATCAATGAAACATTATCAGTCAAATCAGATAGTATCTGAACTGAGATTCACTACTTAACCAAAGTGAAAGAATAACAAATAGATTCGATCTGGAGACCATCGAGTAATCGTCACTAATGAATTAATTGGCAACACGAATCACATGATGAATTCTTGCAAGTCGACTGAGAAGAGAGAATAAATGATTTGACAATTAGAATGTTCATCGAATATCGATGCAGAACAATGCATGAAAGAAAAGAGTTTCAAAAGAAGATTATTGATATTAAACGATGATCAAGACATCTACATAGTTGATACTTTTCTCAATCCCACTATTTATTCGGCTATCATTCTTTTTTTTGTATAAACACAAAATGACACCGAGAAATGTTGTACGAAGTGAACATCGTACATGACAAGATATTTCCAATAAAAGAAGATATTTTAGGTGATAATAAACGATTTTTCTGTTCAATCAGGCAACATTTCACGAGATTTGTTGATGAAAATCGATTTGAAAATATTCAATAGACATTGTTTCAAGCGATTTTTTTTCTGACTGACTAAGATGAGATTTATTCGAATTCTGAAATAATCTTCTTTACTATCAGACGAGAAGCTGAGAGTGGCAGAATCGACATTCATTAGTTAAGTAAAATAGAAAAAACATTCATAAAAAATAAATAAGCCACGAGAAATTGTAATATTGTATTGTTAATGGTGATAATTGAATGACAGAGAAAATATCCAAGTGATATTTACGTAGATTTTATTCGAATCGAACACTCTGCTTGTGAACACATGGATGACAGCATGCTTTTCTTTTGAAAACTGAATAGTATGACATTGATCTAAATATTTGAGAACGAACCAATCGTCATGCAAGAAGTCAAGTACTAATTCAATTTGTCTGATCATTTGATGCAGAATTTGTGTCTGTACATTGGTCATCAAATCGATTCTCCCGTTTGTGATTTTTTCGTTGATTTGACATTGCCGTTGCGATTATACACATCGTCTAATGATACTGAGCAATATACGCGATATAATGAAAACAATAATGAGCTGAATAATTGTTAAGATCAGAACAGGAACTCTTTTTTGGTCGTGATACTTCAATAGACGGAAATGATAAATGTCTTGTCAATGAGCCGAATGAAACAGAAGTTTTCTTTCCAGTGATTGGTTGATCTGATTGTGTTTTAGAAAATCGTCTAGTTTTATGCCATCGGTTCCGTAGAAATCCATGTATCAGTAATCATTTTCAAGCGATTTGATAGATCATTAATTTGACTAACTTTAAATTACCAATCCAAAAAAGTATTCGTGATTTGGTACATTCATGTTCAGGCGAAAGAAACATTCTGAACCTCTCATTCGAATATACATGAGTATTGAAGAAGTCGAATCGACCAAACTACCTGGGATTCTTCTTGAATATGGG